CCAGCAAAACCTTGGGCATCTGAGACTTGGCCCAAGCCTGTTTCACGGGGCCTATGGGCAGCATGGTGTAAGGTGGGTCCACCACCCCCACCACCCCACCTTCACCTGCTCCCTGAGGATATGTCTTGCATCCCTTAGGCTCTGTCCTGGACCAATCTTCATTGTATGGTTGGATCTTCTGGGGCCAGGTAGGGTGGGAAGCGAGACCAAGTCCAGGGCTCCTGATGGTGTCTATCCATTAGAACCAAAATGGGACTGACCTGGTTAGCTCCTCAGTGATCTGGGTCTCTGGATCTCTTCACCCCTTACTTCTCTGACTCAGCACATCCAGGTTAAGCATCTTCCCAAACTCTTGTCCTGCAATTCTTGACTTTTATGTTTGTCCTAACCAGAACTCTGTCAAAAGAAAAATCAACTTGACACACTGAATAGCCATCCCTCGACAAGAAAATACTATAGGTTTTCATGGTTTAATTGATGCTGATATCAATTAAATTTCATATTAATACATTTAATGGAGTCTTGTGTGTGATGCAAAGGGTTCTTTGGCTCTCTCTGATTAAGAATGAACAGATAAATAAATACCATGTTGAAGGGAAAGCTTCTGATTGTGTGATTTCTGGGCCAGAATATTGGGGATTTTTCAGTTTGGGGCTACAAAGCATTATAGAGACAATTTGTTAATGGCTCTATATAATTAAGGTAAGAATTGCATTAAAAAATTGACTTTATAAAACAAATGATATTCATAATTATTTCTTCTGACCTAATTATATGTGAGGCTTTCATTCCAAAGGAGAATGACTATAATGGACATTTCATATAAATCTTGCCCTCCTGAAATCAGCTGATTGAGCAAAAAAGAATGCCTTCAACTGTCATCTCAATGCAGTAGTTAACATGGGCATTTGAAAAAGTTTAGACACACCAAAGCATTGGTACTTTAACATAAGAAATAGTTCTGTTTCTGTAATGTTTCCGCTCATGCTGTTCTTTTCCACTGACAGGTAAGAGTGAGGTTTTGACACTCTTAATATAACATAGGGTGTTAATCTTATAATCACCCTGTCAGCACTTTCTGTCAGAGTGTTAATGGCCACCTTTCAGCCATTCAGAGGCTCTTGCCAATAAAAATAATACCGGCATCCAGCCAACCAGAAGTTATTCGGCTACTTTTTTTTTCTTTATTTTTTTAAAGCAATGAATAAATTTTTTAAAAAGAAGTACCAGCCTTTAAGGCAGAAGTCTATCTCTATGTCCTACTTCCCTATGTCAACTGTACCTGGTAATAAGATTCAAACTTTTTCCTTGGTCTGAATCTTTGCATTACCTTTGAACTATCCAAAGTATTTCTTAGTTTTTACAAAAATATTCCGAGAAAAAGTCCTATCTTGACTGAAAATGTAAAGCATCCTTTCAACCACATTGAACAGGGAACTACTAATATACAATTAAGAATCACCAAAGAACCAGCGCATTGGAAAGCAACAAGTAATATGTATATAGCTATATTTATTATATATTAGAAGCCTCTAGAATCCACTTTATACAGAATTTTGAAATAAAACAAAGTAAAAGAAATTATAATAACCAAAATTTTTAAGTTTTGGATTTGATCTTTTATTGAATCAAAAAATGGCCTACAACTTTTGTCTCTTTGACTAACCATCAACTAAATAAGAGACTAGGAGGAAAAAGTAAGAGCTTACTCGATAGGAAAGATTATCTCACCAGCTAATAGTTCCTTTCTCTGAAGTTCATTTCACTCTTGATTTTTCTCTCCACCCTCACTTACCTTCTAAAGACATTCATTTGGGTCTGAGGACTTCCATTCTGTGTTTACTGCTATCCTCCAGCTCATCTAAATTATACCCAGCCACTCTGTATTTAGATGTTCAAAATTAGTGCTTTTTTGTGCGTGTGGCAATATTTTTGTAAACTCTTTGGCAAGAAAGTAGCTTTATGATATATAATTTCTTGTTGAAATATCAGGATATTAAACACTAAAAATAAATTTTCCCCAATGGAATGCCTATTCACAAATCTATGATTATCACAGCCACAAAGATCAGTATGAAAATCTAACACATAGTGAGCTGAATTTCTGACTTTATTTCACCTTAACTGGTGTGTCTTCTATAGCTCTTGTGTGTTATGTTTTAAAAGAGGTGACATGTCTGCAATAGTAGTATGAGTAGTATTGATAGAAATGAAGAGTTTCTGCAATAACTTACCTGATTTATTTTATGCTAAGGATAAATCTGTCACCCTTTTCTTTGTAATCATAACACTTAGATGGTCTTTTATTTTTCCTAATGGCAGACTGCACATGGAAAATATATTTCCAAGAAATAAAATCCAAAGAAATTTACAATATCCTCTTTTCATTGAAAACTAAGAGAAATGTATCAGCAAATCTTTCATTGGGTTTGGCTAGAAAACAGAGAAAACAATGAAGTACCAAGTATAGAAACAATTTTATGAGTACATGGCTCACATAGTTTTCTGAAAGAAATTCCTTTTCCAAAATGCTGATCAAACTAAACTCAAACTAAAATTTGAACCTAAGAAGCCCAAGTTCAGTTCAAAAAAATGAATGGCAATTTAATCAAGCTTATATTATATATTATGTTTTTCCCAGAGACAGAAGGTAGGAATGGAAGGAAATCATTGAGTAGTAAATTTAATTGTGAGATAATTTCAACTAAATGTCTCACTTTAAACCACTATATTTGTCTCAAAGAAAATGTATGATAATCTAAAATAGTTCTGAAGCTCAGATGTTTCATGTGGTAGAATTTCAGTGAAATTGGGGTATATACAAATAACCTAGTTTCTAAGGCATTTTTAAAGATTTTTTTTTCTAGCAAAAGATGTAACAGAGTTTCTTTTAAGCCCTTAATTTAATCTCTGAAATGATGAGGAATCTCCCACTTTTTCTAGAGGAGAGTCTACTTTAAACTTCTCTAAATCTTTAGTGTTCTATGAGAGAAGAGAAAGGGTTAGAGAGTTGTGGAAGTAGACATGATTTGGATACAAAGTGCCATGTCCTTATTGGTCACTGAGGAGGGAGGGAGGGGTCAAGATTTAGGGTTAGGTTCAGTAGAAACAGGGTTTGGTATGTGACACTGCTTTTTTGATCCAGCAATCAACTCTATTAGACTTCAAGTACTGTACTTGTACATGATCAACAATGTCGGGAACTCCATTAAGCAGGTCGCCCTTCACATTGTACGACCTGCCTTAGACTATAATTTGTTTTATTCATCAAAGAGTTTATAACTCTATCAAGTATATACCATTTTTTCTAAAGATATGGAGAAAATTTTAGCTTTTTTTTCCTTTTGGTCTCATTTTTAAATGGCATTATTTAAATGGTGCTTTTATTTACATTTCTGTTCACTACTTCTAAGGTATGATCAATAACCTAATTATATTCTTATCAAATCAGTATGCACTTAATTCAAAAACAAAGTACCTTCGTATTTTTTCACTTTCTCACTGTTCCAATAACTTTCTCACCCTCAGAATGTGGGAGACTGTTTTCATGGCCGCTCTTCTTCTTCCTGCTCCTGGACATTGCAGCACCCTGAGTGTCACACAGTCACCTGGGTCATGTTTCCCAGATACCAGAACATGTGGCACAATATTAGAGGGTTGCTTTATACTTCACACATGCTAAATAACACAGAGAAAAAAATTACAATTAACAATAAAAGCCATCGTAAAGCTTTGTTTTGTAGCTATATTGGCATACACAGTGATAATAATGGTGAGCATATCACAGCAGTTGTTGATTTGCCAACAACAAAAAACTGACTCTTGGGACTTTACAAAGAGTGGCTGCCTCTAAGGGATGTGAGAGACCTCACAGGATTAGAGGGAAGACTGAAAATGGGCAGCTTCCAAACTGTCCAGAACCAGTCTCAGGGGCAAGGCTTGCTTCACAATCTTCCCGGGGAATGGATGAAGTCTCACTCCTTCTTTTAGCCTTGCTTCAAAGTCCTTGGTCTTGCCTGTGCAGGAAGATGCAGAAGGAACTGCCAGTAATCCAAAGGCAGCTTTGGAAGAAGAGGGCAGGCACCTGGATTTCATGTTCCTCCGTGATGACTTTCAACAAGGAGAGGCACATCTGCAAATCAAATTGTGGTGTTGGGTGGCCAAAATATTAAAATCCATTACCATAATATTTATCTTTACAAGTGGAGCACTATGGTTTCTCAACACTGGCAAGGAAACGCATATAAAAATGTGATGGTTAGGTAATGAGAAGAGAATAGGGGAAAAGAACTTACTTTTATAGATACTCTAAAACCAACCAAATGAAGTCTTATGCTAACAAACTCTAATAGCAGCAAAACATTAATGACTTAGAAGTTATAGGTCTAAGTTACCAGGGACTGACTGGAAGTAACAGGTGTTAAGACATTTCCTTCGTCTGATGACAGTTTGTTACTAATTAAATCATTAACTGAGCATTCTGCAAAGCTTTGGCAGTGCGCAACTTGCTTGAATCAGTTTCTCACACCTAGTTTAAAGGAGTGCTCTTGCCTTCTTTCTATCATTAAATAAACTTTGCTTAATTAGCAGTTACCTTCTCAAGTTTGCCAAACATAGCTTGGCACTTAGTCTAAATAAACATGGGATAAACTCAGAACAAACTTGAAGAAAATTAGTTTATGGTCTTTTTTTAAATGTACCAGATGGAAAGACAAAACAACACAAAACAAAACAAATAAAAAAAAATCTCTGCAAAAAATAGGAAAAAATAATTTCTAAAACTTGGGAACCCTCAGGAGAGAAATTGAGAAATTTTATGTAAATGGAGATTCAAAAACGGGGTAGATGATATCAGTAGCTCATTTATCCTCCTACAAACAAACGTGAAAAACTGAAATAAGCAATAGCAAACCCAACTGGTTTTTAGTTATACTCCAAAATGTACCACATAATGGTTATACCACCATAATGTATACAGAGAACAAAACTTTCCTCCTTCACCCAGTTGATCCAACTAAAGAAAACTTTTAAACTTCCCCAATTCTCAGAATCTAGTTTACATAATATGTCATCAGGAAATAAAACCAACCTATGAAACCACTATCTGAAAAGTGACAGACTGAAAAGAAACAACCTTTAGAGATTGGCCAATCAATTGATATGTGCTTTGAATGAGGGTTTAGGTTGTGAGGCTTGGAGAGAAATGAAAAATGACCTCTGTTCTCAGAGTTTAAAATCCATTCAGGGAGAGAAGAATGACTTTGGAGGAAACAATTAACTAAACAAGACAAAACCCAGGAAGTGCTTAAGTTGTACAAGAAAGTAGGAAATTGTGTTGAAGCTAAAGGATGAGATAGGATTTTAGAAGATGGATACTAGTAAAGTGAACATTCCAGGGAAGGCTGAGGTAGGTATGATGTGGAACCAGGTAGGGGCACTAGTTGAATTTGGAACAGGAGTTGGAGAAGAAGGCTCAGGGTCCCATGGTGTGGGGTAGGAGCACTTTGGTTTTGGTGGACATACAGAAGATTCACCAGGCCAGACCAAGCGGTCTAGAAGGACAGAAAGTGATGTCAATTAGTCAGGGTCACACCAAGGAAAGCTTTGAAAAGCATCCAGAAGGAACGCAGAGGTATCTGTGCTTGAAGCAGCAGGGCATAGCAGAATAATAAGTCTACTATTTAAACCAGAGAAAGGTCTGGAAGAGATTTGCAGGAAGGATGTGTCTACCTCTTATGTTTCTTTGACATTATAAATACCAATAGATTTAAAATAGAAGCTGAAATCAACTAAATCATAGAGACCAGAAAATGTACTGCCAAAGAAATGGAAAACCCACAGTTACATCAATGATACAACTAAAACAAAAAAATGTTTTTTATTTTTTTTAATAAAAGGGCCATATTTAATCAAGCAGTTGAGTGGACATGTCAGGCCCTACTGGACTCATGTTGCTCAGTTATAATCATTCAGGCCTTCACCCTCCAGCCTGAAGGCCACCTAGTCTGAAGCCGGTCCTTCTGCATGGAGTAGGGAGTCTGTTGGGGTCCTCAATCTGGGTGTCTGGTCAAGGCACTCATGTGCATTCATCACTTGTCCCTTCTCAGATCCTCCGAGCTAGTAAAGAGGGAGAGAGGGGTGGGGAGGGAGAAGGAGGGGAAGGGGAAGGCAGAAAGAATGAGAGAGAGAGAGAGAGAGAGAGAGAGAGAGAGAGAGAGAGAGAGAGAGAGAGAGAAGAAAGCAGGAGAGGAGCCAAACATAGACTAGCAATTTTAACTTCTCAACTACTTTTTGAAAGATACAGAGTACATGGAAGTATCTTATCAGAGAAGTTACAAACTAAGTGCCTCACAACGGAATATCAAAAAGGAGATAATTTTCTCTTAAAGAACTCTGGGCTTGGAGGTAATAAATTGCCAAAGAACACAAGATAAGGTGCTGACTTAAAAATGAGACTGCTTGAAAAAAATCTGTGTATGGAACAACTGTCACCCTTAGCCTGTCTCCCCCCACCCCACCCCCAATGTTCCCAATGTAAGGAGCTTCATGACCACCCTCTCTTGGCATTCCCCTGCCCCAAGACACAAACACACTTCACCTCTCCTCTAGCCATGACCTCAGGGCATCAAGATTCCATTCTTTAGAGAAGTTGAGCCAGGAATTTCTAAACTCACATGGAAGAATGGTGTTGAGGTGCTAGAATGACAAATAGGAAATCATGAGAAAGTCTTTAAAATTGACAGTGGGACCTCCATCCACCTCCTTCAGCCCTCACAGAATGTGAATAACTGAGGAAAATAACTCCAGGCAGAAAAGGAGATAACTCTTCTCCAGAGAAGCATCAGGTTTTCAGAAAAATGATGCCTAGATACTGACATTTGGAAATCTCCCAAGAAAAAGTCAGTTTATCATCTAGTCATCCTATGAAAGATGACCTCTGTTCCCAAGCAGCCTACTCAGATATGCAGTGTTTAATGCCTTTCTAGAGTGCCCTGGTTATAGCAACGAAGAACAAAACAGCATTTGAGAAAAGCCTGCAACATAAAAGAAACCAAAATAAACAAATTAGAAAAAAGGGAAAAAGAGAAAAATGGAAGAAGCAGAAATTCTTTTTTTAAAATATACAATTAGAATCATCATCTATATAAGAAAAGCTGCTTCATTGATGATAGACCAACAGAGAGGTGAATAGAAAACACTCAGAGATCAACAAAGAACATTTGAAAATTAAAAGTGTGATTGCTGGCAATGACATGCTTTTGGGAGCTGGAACTTGGAATTCCTCCAGGAGATGGAGATCCTTTTCTGATGGGAGACACATCTGTCCCAGCCAGAGCTGGGTCTCATTATACTCTGCATGCATTGTGGCTTTCTGGACTCCCAGAAATTGAGCAAACTGTAACATCTCAGCCACCCTGTTTAGCTCCTCCACCATTTTCTATCACTTGGGCTTTGAAATGTGGAAACTTAACTAGGTAATAACTGGACCATTCACAGAGTTGTATTTTGACCACTCTTGGTCATATTTTCTATCTTAAAGCAGACTGTTTCTAAGAAGATGAGGTGCGTGTATGTATGAATACCACTGGGAGAATTGCAGTAAGAAACTGGATGAAAAGGCTATACTCAGGATGTGTTCTCCAAAAGTACTTAAAAAATTCGAAGTTTGAAAATTGATTCAATATGTGGAACATATAACATTTACACTTATTTTAGTGGAATAATGTTTTGTTCACAAACTTGTATAAAATATAAGATTCATGTAGAGAGACACTGACAAGATACATATTGGATTGATTGAAATTAGTAATATTTAATTATTTTTCACAGTTAAGCCTTTCTTCACATTACCCTCTAGTCCTGGTGATTCAGTTTTGAGAAGAGTATCAGCTTTTTATTAGTTTTTAAGGAATAATAGTAAATACATTTATTTAATAAAGGAACCATGTAAATTTGTGATTATCTTATCTTGCTCACTCTTCATCTTTCCAGGAGTTTTAGTGTTTTAATCTGTTTATATAAAACTCCATCCATTCAATCAATTTGCCTTTGGAGACAATTTATACCACTGTCAGGGCTCCTGAAATACAGTAGTTAAAATTATATCCAAAATATTCCAAGTAAAATAAGACTACAATGTTGTACAAACAAAAAGCATCATATTAGGTTTCTGAGAGTTTCCTTAACTGTCACAAAATATAAGCCAACGTCCTCAGGAAATAGAGTAGTATATGTTCTAAACTATTTTGATTACCTTTCTTCTATAATTTATGTTTGTCATGAATGAAATTTGTTTATGAATGTGACAAGTTGGAAGCTTGGGGTGGAGAAAGTTACTAGATCATGTACATAATTGATCTTCTATTCCTTTTGTTTTTTTCCTTCTCATTTTCTCAAACCATTAGTATTCTGAGGATACTATGCATTTATTTTGTATTTGAAGATATTTCTTTGCTCTTGGATATGTAGTACATAGAACTTACAAATCTAATGAGCAAGTCTAACTAGGTTGAGATGACTTGAAGAAAACAAGTTAAAAGTTATGAAGGCATATTTTGCACAGGTCTAAGCTTGGTATTTACCAAGAGTTGGAGTTTGTAGTTAGGATTCATCTTGACTTATCTTTTAACTAACAAAAGTGTGAGGTTTTCTTCCTTTATCGGCAAAGGCCAGTCGTATGAAAGAAAAAATGCCATAAAAAATTCAAAAAGTAAGGGACTTAATACAGGAAATTGGATGCTTATAATATCATTGGAAGAGCTGAAGCAATGGTAGTCAGAGGCCAACTAGATGGAAGATAGAAAGGAATTGACGAGAACCAACCTTATTATTTACTACACTCCCTCAATCTAACAATTCAGACCTCAAAGCCAGCATGAAAATCCCACATTAAATAAAATAGCATATATAAAGCAACCAGCATGTACTGTGAAAAATAAAAAGCTCTTTAAAAATAAATTATCTAGTAATGGTACTAATTAAATATCCTCTTTAAAGACGCTTTTCTAAAAAATCTTTATCCCTGAGACTCAGGTATAATATCTGGATTAACAGGTTATCACTGATTTGGAAAATTAATATGAAGACATAATATGTCTTTCCCTATCATCATTAAACTCTCCCTAA